CAGTGAGCCTGCGCGATGGTGACAGTTGGCTCTTCAGCAAGAACGGGGCAGCCTTGACGGGTCGAGGCAGAGACAAGGCTGTTTGCCCTGCACAGCTCAGGGTGCCGCAGGGTCAGGGTGCCGCAGGGTCAGGGTGCCGCAGGGTCAGGGTGCCGCAGGGTCAGGTGCTGCAGAGTCAGGGTGCAGAGGGGCAGGAGGGGCAGAGAGCAGTCAGGCGGAGTGAGGTGGGCGGTGGTGGCTGAGGACAGGGACTCCGTATGGATTTGGGAGCTTTTGCGAAGGAAACAGCAACAGGACTACGCCCACCACACGAGGCATGGCGCGCCGCACTCTGGCGGCTGGAGGGCCTGCAGTGCTGGACGCGAGCGCCTCCTGCCGCTCTCCTGCCACTCTCCTGCTCCCGGCAGCCAGCTCTTCGGCCTGACGCTCTGCACCCGTGGGCACCCGTGGGCCCGTCTCCCTCTGTGTGGTCACCTGGGCCGCTGTGGTGGCCGGAGTGGAGTGAATGCACTTTCTGGCTTGGTCACACAAGCACACCATTTCCTGGGGCAGGAGCAGGGGTGGGGGTGTTTAATGTCCGAAGTGAGAGAAATTGCTCTTGCTTGTTGTAAAAATTAGACAGAAAGTAGCAGAAGTGCAGGGGCCCTTGGGGATGACGTGGAGGCGTCCGTCTTCAAGGGCACCTTCTGGCAAGGCCTCCCTCTCCCATCAGAGGCCAGGCTCAGACGTAACAAAATGGTCAACAGAGCACATCCCAGTCCATTGGTTGACTCTATGAATCAGATAAGCTTACAGGGGCTTCGGTGCCATTTGCCTCTGAACTGGTCCCCCTCAGCCGGCCGCCTCTTCCCTGTAACTTGGTGACAGGCCAGCCGAGCTCTTTCCTCGGTTTCCCGCACTTCCTGGTCCCAGGGATTTTAGGTCACATGGCATGTGGACTGTGTTCTGGACCTGGGACCGGGGAGGCGCCCCCCCGCCCCCCCAGTGCCCCACAGTGTGACTTGGGGCCTGCCCCTGCCCCGGCCCTGTTGGCACAGTTCCCAGCTTTGTCTGTAAGGTGATGTGGCCGGATGTGATCTCGGTCTCTGGAGGCTCCAGGCAGCAGTGTGGGGAGGCACCTGGTATGCTTCCAGGGAGTGAGGGGGGCTGTCTTGAGTTCACCCCTTGGGGAGATGGTCTCCCTTCCTGGTCGGCCCCATTGTAGGTGGGCTGCTGTGCAGACTCGTGACTCATCTGTCTAGGCACAAGTGAGGCGCTAAGAACATGTGAGGGCTGGGGGTCCTCGATTTCTTTCGGTCTTTGCCTAGGTTCCCACTGGGGGTGCTGCCCAGGGGCCAGCGTGGACACATGGGCCGGGGCTGGTGCGCCTGAGTGCTGGGGGCGTTGGCCTTTGTGCCTCTGGGCCGTGAGCGTGTGGCTCAGAGGGGAACGATACCCAGTGGGGAGGCTGGTGTGCGGTGGCCTCAGAGATGCTGCCTGTTGTGTCCCTGCAGAAGGAAGGCGAGTTCACCCTGCACACCCGGGCCATCCTGGAGATGGAGCAGCACATCCGGGAGACGTACCCCGACGCCGTGAAGATCTGCAACATCTGCCATGGCCTCCTCATCCAGGTGCCGCTGGGGGCTCCCCACCGGGTGCGTGGCCCCGGCGCTCTGAGGGCACCTCACTGAGCTCTGTGGGCCCCGGCCTCTGGCATTGCCGTCACCCCCGATGTGAGCAGGAGGGCCTCTCCTCGGAGGTGTCTGGACGACCCCATGAACGCAGCGCCTGGCCCTCTGCTGGTCCCAGGGCTCTTGGCTGTATTTTCTCCAGGAGGCGGTCCGAGGTCGGCCGTGTTCCTGTCACCTCGGCTGTTGTGTGGGGACCGCCCTCCCGTGCCCGTTGCTGGTTTTACACGGTGGACTTCGTGGGGCTTCCCAGCCGCCGAGCCAGTGCTAGACAGGGCTCCTCCTCGTTAACGTGCATCTCTGTGCAGCGCTAACTGCGCGCTGATGGGCCATTTGGCACCTGCCCCCTTGGGTGCCTGGCGGTTGCTGCCTTTGGCTGAATCCCCGGAGGTGGAATTCCTGGGACAGAGTGAAGGTGTTTTTAGAAGAGTCTGAAATACATTGCCCGGTGCTTTCTGAAAAGTTGTATCACATCCACCCGCAGGATACGAGGTCTACCCGCGCAGGGAGCTGAGTTTCGGGGTGCCCTTGCTGCTCTGCGGGGCCTGCCAGCCACCACTGCCAGCCCTGGCCTGTAGTCTTGAGCTGCGTTCGTTGGAATTCTTTAATCAGCCATTGCACCAAGGACTTGGGGATGATTATCATTCATCTGGGGCTTGGAAGACAAACATGTAGCGTGTGGACAGTTTCCTGCAGGTGTGTGCGCGGAGGTGCGAACGGGACTCCACGGCTGTCCGTTCTTGTTCCAGGGTCAGAGCTGCGAGACCTGTGGGATCAGGATGCACTTGCCTTGTGTGGCCAAGTATTTCCAGTCGAATTCCGAGCCGCGCTGCCCCAACTGTAACGACTACTGGCCCCATGAGATCCCAGGTTGGTGTCCCTGCGGCTCCTGGGCTCTCCTGGCCTGTGGGAGGGGCCCTGGGAGGTGGGGCACCTGTGGGGTCTGCATCAGCAGGGCCGGGACCCCACATGCAGAGGGCTCTGCGGTCAGCGGGGTGCCTGGTGTGCGCGGTCAGAGGCTCCCTGGAACTCACTAGAAAGCCCCAGGCACATGGGTCCTGATCTAGACGGGGCTGTCTCCCAGCAGCTCCCTCGGGTGGTGCACGTGTCACCGGGCTCACTCCCTGTCCTCGCAGTGGGTGGAGGGTTAGCAGTGGGCACTGTCAGGACAGGGTCCCAGGCACGTCACGTGTAGCTGGGAACGTGGCTGTTGTCAGGTGCAACCAGCCCTGCCATTCAGTGTCCTCCCCATGTTCTCTGTGTGTAGAAGTCTTCGACCCTGAGAAGGAGCAGGGGGCTGGGCTCTCCAAACCCAGCAGGAAGTCCCTGCGGCCCAGGCAGCACTAGCGACGTCTGCGGGCCCGGCTGGAAGACCCTGTGCCTCGAGTTCACACGCGTCACCTCCTTCGAGCTTTATTTTCCCTTATTAGCAGGTTTGAAATAAAACTTCACCGCAGCCCCCTGTGTTACGCGCCTGTCTGTGGGAAGTGCATCCTGGCCGATCAGGTCTCCCTGGAGCTCTCTGATCCGGGAGCCCTGGGTCGGGTCCCAGCGGGGGAGGTGCCACAGCTCCTGCACAGCGCTGGCCCAGGGGCCCACTGTCCTTGCTCAGGTGGCCTCGCCATCACTCTCCAGCTTTGGTTACTTGTCCCACCAGCACTGGCAGCCAGACCTGGACTGGTGAGGGCCTTGGCCTCCCCATGGTCTGGACCAGGGGTCCTCAAACTTTTTAAACGGGGCCAGTTCACTGTCCCTCAGACCGTTGGAGGGCCGGACTATAGTTTAAAAAAAACAAACTATGAACAAATTCCTATGCACACTGCACTTAATTTGAAGTAAAAAAACAAAACGGGAACAAATACAATATTGGTATTTGCATGTGGCTCGCGGGCTTGAGGACCCCTGGTCTGGACTCTCTGGCCCATGATGCAACTGGCCCAAATGGGCATGTAGCCTGCAGGCTCGGCTGAAGGTACTCTCCTCAGTGGGCTCTTCTGTCCCGGCTCAGTGCCTGGCAGCCCTGCCCATCAACTGCCCCAACCCTGAACTGGGGGTTTGGCCTCGGTGTCTCCTCCTCCCTGGCTTCCTGCATCAAATCTGTCATGGCACCTGGCTGCCCCCCTGCCAGGTGGCCCTCAGCCCCCCACGGCTGCCCTGGGCCAGGTCCCTCCCCCACCTCCTCTGCACCGGCTCCTCACTGCTCCTGGCTCCAAGCGGCCCACCTGCTCCATGTTTTCTACCACAGCAACTGTCCCATGATGCCAATCAGCCTGGCGCCCCTGCTAAAGACCCCGGTGACTGCTGACAGGACTCGGGTCCAGGCACTCAGGACTCACGGGCCCAGGTGATGAGGCCCTTGCGCATCTCATGGCCTTTCCTTCCCCCCGGTTCCTGAGCGAGGTCCTGCTCCTCCCTCTGAGCCTTTGCCTTGTCCCCCCGCCCGAACCTCCTTCCTCGGAGCCTGCCTGTGCCTGCTGACACCTGCCCACCCTCTAGGTCTTGGCAGGGCGTCACTTCCTGGGTCATCACACTTGCCACGCAATTTCAGTTCCCAGTCTTTCTTCCCCTCAGTGTCAGTCAGGACCCTGTTAGTCGGACAGAAAACCCAGCTCCAACTGGTTTAAGCAAGGAAGGCCTGGGCCAGAGGGGCCTGCAGGAGAGGCTCTACCCGGTGTTCCGAGGGCACCGATCA